GAGAATTTGTATAGTGTTGTCGGGAATTAAAGGTTAAAGCCAGGGTTGAGTTTTTCGAAGGTCGATTGATGCAAATCTAGACCGGTTATTTCTTAGCCTGCGAGCAGCAGACGGTATTTCCGGTGGTCGCTTCTCGGAGGGAGAGAAGCGACGACCGGAAATACGTCTGCTGTACTGTGTAGTTCTCTATTCTCGGGCTTGGAACAACCAGATGCATGTGCCTAATATGCGGACGGCATCATTTTAATCAATATCATGATTCCCTTGGACGGCTTAGTTGGAAAGGACCCGGTCAAAATACCTTGCAGTCACGTGATCTGTCTGCATTGCATTTCTGAATGGATAGTACAGGAACGAAATTGTCCTATGTGCAGACAGGACATCCCTGAGGATTTTAGGATACAGTCCACCCAAATTATAAGGTTAGATTTCTTTTCTTACTTAAAAGGGTTAGTTTCTAGTTTGGAGTGAAAGGAGGAAAATTACAAACTTGTCCCCCTTACTTTTATTTATTGCCTAGAAAGATGGTTTACAGCTTACTATTAAATTAAGAACCAACGCCTTGGGTCGAGGCCAACGGTTATGGGGGACCTTACGAACAACTTATTGACCAAAACGTGCAAAACCAACAAACATGAAAGTGACTGAACAAAAATGAACAAATTTGATTAAAAATCTGCGACAAACATTGGCGTAACAGTCAACGGATCGAAACAGTGCTTCTTTTAATTGAGGATGTTGTCCTGCTACAGCTCATTTCAGTGTGATCATGTTTGTCCCTGGGAAAATTTGAGGTGTACTGATGAACTACTGCTAATATCTTTCTGTTGCGCCATTTTTAGGAAAGCTGTCCAAGAACACTCTGACTTTCGCCGCCGATGTAACTCTTTCTTCATGGAGCTTGTTTCATTATTTTGTTTTGGCGCTGAAGGTGGTGAAAGTGTAATGAACAACGAGCTGTTCGACATGTTCATGAGTTACGTGATCGAAGCTGCTAGTTCTAAAACCAAAGACTTTTCTCCTTTCCCTGAGCATGGTATTGATGCAACTGCTGTGGTGAGGTCATTCCTACTACAGCAACTACTGAGGACACGGTATGTAATGGAAGCATTTGTTTTTTTCATTTGTAGGTATAATTCCATTGGTTGGTGGTTAAATAGTTGTTTAACGCTAATCCAGGATTTACTGTTAACAAAGCACTGTTTTCGCATCTAGTTTATTTAAATATTTATGTCTTTATTGCTTCATTTACTTATTTCATCATTTATCTATTTGTCGAATCCCATTAAAAAGACACCCATGTTAGGCAATGTACACACGAATCCGGGCATTTTTGAAACCGCATATCTTTTATCCGGATCCGTCTGGACGGGGCCTTAAACCGCTTTCATAAAAAATGCGGTTTCGGTGTCCGGATTCACTCGTGGAGACGGACAGCGGATTAGTGCAAAAACGTATGCGGTTTCAAAAATATCCGGATTGGTGTGGAGGGGGGCTTATAAAAGTTGGTGTAGTGACTGAGTTCCATTCACCCATGACTTAATGCTTCAACTTTCATTATTATTCATTTAAAATATTTCTCCGTTCCTAATTGGCTGAAAGCACACGCACAATTCACCATAACCAGTTACTAATGAACAAATTTGGAAGAATTTTGCATTTATAATTCTACCTGGAAGTTTGAAAACTGTGTTAACAAACATTTTGTAATTTCTCTTAACTTCCCCTGTCTAATAGCTTCTTTACTGAGTTGTTTGCTGATGTCGTTTTTTTTTTGTTCGTTTTGTGGTTAGGGATTTGTGTAGAAGTGGCTGTAGACAGAATGTCGCGCATTTCTATGTACCCCCCACCCCTTCCCCCTTCACTCCCTTCTTGTTTTTTTTTCGATCCTACCCACAATTCTAAATTCAACACAAGTGGCAGTTATTTAAAATCAGTGCTCGCCTAAAGCTGGTTTCGGTGCCGTTTAGCAGTTAACATTTCGTTATTGGTCACCTTGAGAAAATTTTCCCGGAGAGCATCATGTAAAGCTCTGAGATGGGACAATGTTAAGACGATTCGCAGAGTTTACATCGTCCAATATCGTATTGTATTTTCGTTTCATTTGGTTAAACGGAACAATCACCCAGATTCGGACTGAGACAGAAAGATACGATATTGTTCGCTTTTCTAAGGTGACCACTAAGTTTTTGGGCTCGGAAACAGGCTCTTGGGAGTCAGATGAATTAGGCGAGAGAAACATTGCAGGTGAACTTTGACCCAGACCCTGGTGTGAAAACAAGGTCTAGGCTGGTCTGCCGACCGTGTGATCGTAAATCCGGGAACTTGAATAAGACGAGTGTAAGAGAAAAGTTCAGAGGTGTTTATCTGCCAATGGGCTGAGTTTTTACGAGTTATTCGATGATATTTCGCTTGTGTTAAACGTCAGAAGATTATGCGTGGCTGTTGATAGTCTTATCAGTGCCGCGAAAGTGTGTGACTAGAGACCTTTAGCATCAGGTTTTTCATGGGAAACCGCAAACCGCAGTTTGCAGTTACGATTTGGCAGTTTCACGTTGCCGAGAGTATAATTTTAGCAAGGCGTTCAGTTCAGTTCATTTTTATTTAGCCAAAATACAATACAATGCAAGAATACATATGGGAACTGTAAGTTTGCAAGGAAGCCCAGAAGAAACCAGAAGGCTTTTGAAGCATGGGCTCCCCAGTCACAAAGAAATAAGTAAAATAAAATGAAATTCACGGAGTGACACGTTAAAAATAGGAACTAAACAGATACTGAGTTAAGTTATGAATTCAGTAACAAGAAAGAAAAAAAAAATTTAACCATGGTGTCGCGGAGTTCCGCAGAGAACTGAAAACTAGCTAGGAGGCCTGGCTTCAAAGGAGGCTTGGCTACTCAGCAGAGAGAGATAGAAACTGTGACTTGAAAACGTGGTCGAAGCAAACATTGACTGAGATTCGTTTAATTTCTTGTTGTGTTAACAAAAGTTTATTTCAAAAAAGTTTAGTATTCGCATCCTTGGCGACATGTGGTAGCAGAGCGAGGTTGTAAGCCATTTGTACGTGGAACATGAGTGGATGTATTCGTCAGCGTTTAGGTCCGACGAAGAAGCGACTGAAGGATCGAATTAAACAAACTCAAGCCTTCCTCCAACACGATGTTACTCTGGATGAAAGTGAGAACAAAGCCAATCAATTACTCCTCAAGTTGGAAGGAAACCTCAAATCTTATAAAGATTTACTGGAACAGCTACAAGAATCATCCAAGGAAGACGAAGCTAAAAGCCAGCGACTGGAAAATGAAATGGAGGAGTTCAGTATTCTCGAGCTTGATGGAGACGAGGCTATTTGCGATCTTAAAACACTTCTGATAAATATTGCTAAACGAAAACAAGAGACAACTGAAAAGGAAGAAAAACAGAGGGAAAGAGCTCATGAAAGAGAACTTCAAATGGCAAAACTTCAACAAGAAAAGGACCTTCACCTTGCAAAACTTAATCAAGAGAAAGAGATTCAAATGGAAAAGATGAAGTTGGAATTGGAAATTTTGAGGCAGAATGAAATAGACAAACAGCGTGAACATGAACTAAAGAAAGTGGAGGTGGAACTGGAAGCTAAAAGGAAGTTGGCTCAAGCTGAAAAGGAAATGGAGCTCAAAAGAACAACTGCAGATATAGAACTTAAGATGAAAGCAGAAATGGAACAAAAATGTCTTGAATTAGAAAAACAGTTTGGTGTTCCAATTACTCGTCACACTCCCACTATCAAGCTTCCCAAACTGGAACTTCAAAAATTCGATGGAAATATTTTGAAGTGGCAAGAATTTTGGGACTCTTTTGAAGCCTCTATTCACAAGAATCCAAACCTTCAGCCTGTGGACAAATTCAATTATTTAAGAGCTGAATTAGAAGGAGATGCAAGTGTAGTTATCTCTGGACTGGAACTAACTAACACCAACTACGAAGTAGCGGTAAATTTACTGCAAGAGAGATTTGGAAGAGATGAACTCATTATGGATGCTCACTACTCAGCGTTAATGGATCTTCCTGTTTCTTTAATTAACACTGCCAAACTTCGTGAAACTTATGACATGATTGAGAAGCATCTTCGTTCTCTTAAAGCCCTCGGTGAAAATGTGGACCAGCCACATTTTGTTTTCCTCATTAAGTCAAAGCTGCCAAAGACAGTGATATCCCGGATGGAAGAGTACAAGGACATGGAGGACAAGTGGACAGTGGAAAGTATCCGAAAGGCTTTAAAGCGGTATATTTGTGCTCAAGAGGTTGGAGAACGTCAAACACAATTGATTCAGAGCCCCGAAAGTCAAGATACCACAGTGAAGTCTCAAAAACAGAAATCGTTCCCTTCAAGATGGGCTGGGATCACCACCACGGGTGCCTTACTTTCTGGAAATGAAGAGTCTGCTACTGGTGGTCAAACAATGGGCTGCTTTTACTGTCACAGAAAGGATCACTGGAGTGACCAGTGTAAAACATTTCCAACGGTAGAGTCAAGAAAGGCAAAAATCAAAGGAAACTGCTTTATTTGCTTGAAGCCAAATCATCTACTGAAAGACTGCAAAGTAAACAAGCCATGTTTTCATTGCCATAAAGCTGGAAATCATCACAGGAGTCTTTGTCCTAAAAGGTTTTCTTCTAATGAAGAAAATGAAACTTTGACTATGTTTATTGACCCCCAAATGGCACCGGAAACTGAAAGTTCACTACTGGTTTCCGGCGAACAAGTACTGATGCAGACTGCACTGGCAGATACTGTGAACCTCAAGACTTCAAAGAAACAGTCTACTCGACTCTTGCTAGATTGTGGAAGCCAGAGAACCTACATAAGTGAGGATTTAGTGAATAAACTCCAACTGGTGCCCAGCAATACTGAAATTTTGACTGTCTTCACATTTGGCTCCACAAAGCCCAAGGAATTTAAGACTCCGGTGGTTGAGTTTGGTTTGAAATTAAAGAGTGGACAGACAGTGGACATTCAAGCAAATGTTGTTCCAAAGATCACTGGGATGATTCAAAGGGCTCCTATTAATTCTAAGCAGTTTGAATTCCTTGCAAAGGAGTATCAGCTTGCTGACACTCTCCCAAATGAACTGGAGATGTCAAATGTGGAATTGTTGATTGGAAATGATTACTACAGTGATTTGATTTTGCCAGAGAGGAAAAAGGTGATTCCTGGTCTCTACTTGCTTGGATCTCATTTGGGTTGGATCCTCTCTGGTAGACTGCCAACTGAAGAAAAGAAAGCAGCAGAAGTTTCAATGTTCCTTATGACTGGAAATTCCAGTCAGCAATATCAGCAATCCTTCGCTGCTCCTCTGGAGAACATAAATGACTTTGTGAAACCAAACTTAGACGAGTTTTGGAAATTGGAAACTATTGGAATCAAGGAGCCAATCAACGATTGTGCTGATGATCTAGCCATTCAAAACTTCCACAACACTGTTAGGAAGACAAATGGGCGATACGAAGTTACTTGGCCATGGAAAGAAGAAAACCCTCAGCTCCCAGACAACTACCAGTTGGCTGTTGGTAGGCTTAACTCTCTCCTGAAACGAATTCAAGGAAATCCAGAAGTAATTCAAAGGTATGACAGCATCATCAAAGATCAACTCAAAAAAGAAATCATTGAGGAAGTGAGTGATAGAACTGAAGAAGGATGTAAAAAGCACTACGTTCCCCACCATGCTGTCATCACCCCTGATCGAAAAACAACTAAAGTTAGAATTGTCTATGATGCATCAGCAAAAGCCAAAAAAGGATGCAAGAGTCTTAATGAGTGTTTGTACCGTGGTCCTGTCATCTTAGAAGATCTTTGTGGGCTTTTACTACGATTCAGGACTTACAAAGTAGCACTGACAGCAGATATTGAAAAGGCCTTTCTGCAAGTAGGTCTCCAACCTGCAGATCGAGATGTCACTAGGTTCCTGTGGCTTAAAGATCCTACTAAGCCACTGTCCAAGGACAATCTGCAAATTTATCGCTTTACGAGGGTCCCATTTGGAGTTATCTCAAGTCCTTTTCTGCTTGGTGCCACTATTCTCCATCACTTAGAACAAGTTGGAACTCCTACTGCAGACAAGATTATGAAGCACATGTATGTGGACAATCTTTTGACTGGAGTCAATTCAAGTAAAGAAGCAAGAGAGTTTTATTCAGAATCAAAAGAAGTATTTCGAGAATCATCCATGAATCTGAGAGAATGGGGTTCGAACTCGAAAGAATTTCTGAAGTCAATTCCAGAGCAAGATAGAGTAAAGGAAACCGTAATGAAAGTACTTGGAATACTCTGGAACACTATTAAAGATCACCTGATAGTCAAAGGTTCAAAACCAACAGAATGTTCCTCGAAAAGAGAAGTGCTTAAATCCATCGCTACAGTTTTTGACCCACTGGGATTCTTTACTCCTGCAACTCTTCAGGGAAAACTCTTCCTTCAAGATTTATGGGCCTCAAAGAAAGAATGGGATGAGAAACTGGATGAAGAGATGCTTCATAAATGGATGAAACTACAGAAAGAGATGGAATGTATCTCCATGGTAACCATTCCTCGATTCATCGGAAACTCAAATTGTCAATTGCTGTGCTTTTGTGATGCCTCAACCAAGGCTTATGCCTCTGTTATCTACTTGAGCTCTGATGCTGGTGTTATTTGCTCTTCTCCAAAGCAAGAGTAGCTCCCATAAAGAAATTAGGAACACCTCGACTGGAGCTTCTAGCAGTGCTTATTGGTGTTCGCACGCTCAACTTAGTACAAGAGCAACTTCAACTCCCTATGGAAAAGAAATTCCTTTGGACAGACAATCAATGTGTTCTTCATTGGATCATGAGCAAGAAGCCACTAACAACTTTTGTTCAGAATCGATTCAAGGAGATCACTGAAACAAAGGACATAAGTTTCCGTTACGTCGAAACCAGACAAAATCCTGCGGATCTAGCAACAAGAGGAGTTTCAGCACAAGATCTGGACAAATGTGAACTTTGGTGGCATGGACCGAAATGGCTTCAGGACAGTGAGAAAACATGGCCAACTTGGGATATCCCAATGATTACTAAAGAAACATTGGAGAAGATTGAAAGTGAAACAAAGGGCCCGAAAACCTTCTATGAAACGTCCAACGTGGCTGGAGAAAACATCAATGAAGGGAAGGTTGAAAGCAAAGATAAGTCAGCATCCTTTGTCGCCCTCTTCAGAATGGATGAAAAGAAATCAACTTCCCTTCTTCGGCTTCTTCGAATTACAGCGTGGCTATTAAGATTTGTTCAGAAAGCTAGAAAACAGAAAACCCAAACTGGAGAGCTAAAAGCTATTGAAATCAAGGAAGCAAAAACTCTATGGATCAAGTCCATCCAGAAGACTTACTTCCCCGAAGCATTTAATAGCACAAATGGAACTGTGAGCAAGAAGGATTACAAAAATCAACTAGGCATTCAACTTCATGAAGATGGACTACTTCATTGCCATGGAAGAATGATTCATGCTGAACTACCTCCTGATGCAGTATATCCAATACTTCTTCCCAAAAAGAGCCACTTTACTTCACTACTCATTAAGGAATACCACCAGAAGCTGTTTCATTCCCGTGTTTCTCTTACGTTAGCTCAACTCAGAAATGAATATTGGATTCCTCAGGGAAGAGCTGGAGTAAAGAAAGCAATTCATGACTGTGGTATCTGTAAGAGATTTCAAGGTGGACCCTTTAGACTTCCATCAATGTCTCCATGGCCCAGGAAGAAAGTAGCACAATCTGCCCCATTCACCTATACTGGTTTAGATTATTTTGGCCCTCTTTATATTCAAGGTGAAAGTTCAAAAGAAAAGGTCTGGGTATGTCTCTTTACCTGCGTCACTGTCAGAGCCATCCATTTGGAACTGGTAAAGGATATGACTGCTGAGCAGTTCCTGCTTGCACTCAGACGATTTCTGGCAAGAAGAGGAAAACCTACACAGATTATACTCGATAATGCGCCACAATTTAAGCTTGCAAAAACTGCCATTGATAAAGCTTGGAAGGAAACAATTTCACACCACGAGGTGCAAAGTTACACTGCCAACCAAGGAACTGAATGGAACTTTATAGTGGAACTGGCCCCTTGGATGGGTGGTTTTTATGAGAGACTAGTTGGCACTGTTAAGGGAGCTCTCAAGAAATCAATTGGCAAAATCTGCCTGACCGAGAAGAAGCTTGAAACCTTTCTAGCAGAGGCAGAGGCTGTTATTAATTCTCGCCCACTTGCTTACGTCGGTGAGGACTTCGGTTCTGGATTTTCGCTTACTCCAGCAGACTTCTTAGGTCTCAATCCCAAGTCAGGAATTCCGGTAATCGAGATCCATGGCCCCCATGATCCAGACTATGGAAAGAAGAGCTCAACCGATAAATTAGTAGAGATTTGGGGTAAAGGTCAGCAACACCTGAATTCACTTTGGAAAGTCTGGAAAGATGATTACTTACTTAACCTCAGAGAAAGACGCCAAACACATGTAAAGGGTCCTCGAATTCAAGCAGCAGAAGAGCCTAAAGTAGGCAGTATAGTGCTTTTAAAGGAAGATTTACCACGTGGGGTCTGGAAAATGGCAAAAATTACTGAGCTGATTTCAAGCAGTGACGGAAAGATCCGGGCAGCCAAAGTTCTTCTTCCAACTAAGAAAGTACTCAACAGACCCCTAAATCTACTCTACCCGTTAGAATGTGATAGTGGTCGAGAAACTGAAATGACGCAGGATGGAGAACAGTTGAAAGAAACTGAGGAAATTACCTCGAACACTTTGCGCCCCATTCGAGCGGCAGCAATTAGAGCAAGAGAACAGATGCAAAAACTCCTTTCTTCCGAAATAGGAACTTTCTCCTGGCTTGGGAGTGTCGCGGAGTTCCGCGGAGAACTGAAAACTAGCTAGGAGGCCTGGCTTCAAAGGAGGCTTGGCTACTCAGCAGAGAGAGATAGAAACTGTGACTTGAAAACGTGGTCGAAGCAAACATTGACTGAGATTCGTTTAATTTCTTGTTGTGTTAACAAAAGTTTATTTCAAAAAAGTTTAGTATTCGCATCCTTGGCGACACATGGATTGGAACAGAAAACTTTCTTATGTTAGTACGGCAGAAAGGAATAAAAAATCAATTTGAACCACGCGTTCATTGTTTAGTGCCGCCATGTTGTTTTTCATCAAGTCGAAGTGCATCACTTTCATCGCTCAAAAAACAGGAATAATTCATTGATTCGAGATCAAAAATCCAACAAATACATCGCAAACTGGTATAAAAATCAAGTTCGTGCCTTTAACCGCGAGGCTGTACAATTTTTAATGGCAAAAAAAATTGCCGTAAATCACTTACCGCTGGAAGCCCTTCCTGCGGTTCAAAGGTGAACGTGACCGCAAGGCCGTGGTCACGTGACAGTTTGCGGTTTGCCATGAAAACATGATGCTAAAGGTCTCTATTGTGTGATTTCCGCATGGTGTTGACAGGTATGTGGTCGCGTGGTTGAGCTGTTTCGCCAAAATATTCTGTGCCAGCCATAGAAACGTTTCTTCGGTGTTTAGGTTTCCTGATTGTACCTTGGAAAAGCAACTCTCGACTCAGGGAAATTGGATCTACACCTAGTGTCTGAATCCTGGTTTTGGGAGAAGAATCTGTTTTCTTCATTTTTCATACGCTTTTTAGGCATTTTGAAGACACGTAGGTGATAACATGCAATAATAACGACCTTTGAAACTATTTGCTCAACATAGCAAGTTTTTACAAGGCAGTTCCCTCATTAGCCATATCGGGCCCACTCCCCTAACTGGAGCCGAGTACGGCGGAAGTTGGTCAGGCACGATTTTTGGAGTAACGCGAAAAGTACTCGATCACAAAAACACGATGTATCATCAATATTCGCTACAAATTAACTAGAGAAACACGGCTAAATGAGGTATATTTCAACCACAAATGAATTGCTTGATATAATATGCGTCAAACAGGCCAGCCCGTAAAGTGAATATAACAGTACTCACTTGATTCATCAAGGAAAAATTATCCTGTTCTTTTTTCTCTCCATTTCAAAGTGAGTACTGTGACTAAACAGCTAAAAATTGTGTTTTCGCTGTAAATAATAGCGTCAAACGATGTATCTACAGATGCGTTTTCTCTCTAGTCCCTGATGTGTTAAGATTCGCAAGGTTTTAGAGTGAGTACTGTTGGTGAGTTCCGTCGAGCTATGCAAATCAGTTCTAAGTAAACTAGCTTGGTTGTTTACTTAGTTCGTGACAAATAGCAAATAAACACAAATAAATATTAGCAACACTTTCACCTAAAAAATGAGCCGGCACAATTCTCGTGAAGTCAGCGAAAAACAGCTTTTTTCTTACATCACAATTGCATAGCTCGTGTCGTATTTTTGTGTTGTACAAATGACAAGGACGGCTATTTATATCGCTTAATATTTTTTTCACGGCCGTTCTTTTTTTTGGAAAACATTGTTATTTTCTCTACCAAGCCGACTGGATTTTTTTGACATTCGCAGTGCTCATATTGAGTAATGGCGACTGTAATGTTGCCATATCTGAGTAACTTTTATACCAGGTGAAGCACCTTGTGCTTTGTCGTATATCCACGACTCTAGCTCTTTGGCCTGCCGAAATTCTTACTGTGTACACCATCATGTTAGTAACTCGTTGCTTCCCTTGACTGTTTTCGGACGTGAGTCTTGTTGAAAGTTATGTTATCCTTTGGAATTATGCACGCGCTTTGAGATACTACAATATTCGTTTCGAGCAAAGTCATCAAACACGTTCAAAAAACTGCGAAAAGCTGGGAAAAGGTTTGTTTAACAACGATTTTTCATCAGAAGCCCGAAAAAACCCTTTTACAAGCTTGAAAACCCCTCAAAATTGCCGTTTTTTCTACCGACCTCTTTTTTAGACAATCATGGACAAAAGTCTTGGGATACTTTTGCATTTCTGGGGCGTTTTCCGATTCACACAAGTCCAACCCCTCCCCTCACGCTACAAACAATGTTGGACGCGTGTATCCAGAATTTTTTTTCGAGTTTCAACTTTGTATAGGGTGGGGGGTGGGAGAACTGGGAGAAATTTTCGAAAAGGATGCACCGTTTTAAGAGGGAATCGAGAAATGACAGAAAAAAATGAATATTGCAGTACTGTCCCAAGGACTTTTCTCGGTCCAGGATAATTCTTCATATGACACTCAGCCTTATTCATTAATTGTTAAACTTATCTGGTTGGTATGATTTTTGCTTAGTGATAAGGAAGTCAAGGAGCACTTGTCGCTCTATTTAACGAAGGCTCGAGGACTGAAACCAGAGATTGGCCATTTGTTGCAAGTCTGTCAGCTGTTTGTACACTGCTGGGAGGTAAACTTTGAATTCATTACATGTCGTTTTGAGATGGCGATCTTTTAACAGAAATGAGATACTCATAGCATGCTTATGATTACCCTCAGTCATTATCTTAAGTTACCTAGAACTCGAGGTAGATATATAAAGGTGGTACCCACGCGCTGCAAAAAGGAGAACGCGTTCATAGTTTGAAAGAAGCCTGTTAATGGCAGAAAATGCATCTGTGTTCTTAAGGGCTCAAGAGTTTTAGAAGAGAGGAAGGGTTAAGTTTACGAAGAAAAACTTCCGAATGCATGGAATAAAACCAATAGCAATCCCTTTATTGGAAACCATCCTGTCAAATCTCACATAATTACGCTGAATTTTAGGATTCTCTGATCAGTCAGTATTCTAAAACCTCGAATATTCTGCTGGCGATGATAAAACTTGCACAACAACTTTCTGATGAATGTACGCCAATGCTGATTTTAAGCTCACCTCGTCCCACTCGAGAACTTGACGTTGATGTGCTGGAAGGCGTTGCAAAAGCGCGTTACACCTTAGCACTGACTGCCGAATTTATGTACAAGAGCACAGTAGAAAACACAGAGCCTTGGAATGATCGCCAGATAAAGATGAAATTGGAGACTCTCTTTGAAACTGTAAGGAGACTGTGTTACGAGAGTTTAAGCCCAGCTCCCCGACTTTTCCTCCTCAAACAATTGGCCAGGAGATTTGGTGTGGAGACAATTCATCTGCTGTGTGGTAGGAAGGAGCTTGAGTGGATTGTACCACCTGAGAGCAGAAACAAGCAGGTACAAAACATATCTAAAAATAAATCATTTTATTGTTCAATTAAAATATCTCTCGGTTTCTGTTGACTTAAATTCCACGCTTTAGGGTTGGTGAGGTACTTTTCGCCCATTACACAGCTTGGTCAGTAACCCTAGGAACCTTGCAGCATACTTGTGATTTGAAACATCTGAATAGTAGACTTCTGAACTAAAAACGAGGGAAATCTACCATATTGTAACCATGTGACAATGCAATATTTTTCGCAGAAACTGGGTAAACAAAGCGGTCACCAATTGCCTTTTGCAATTGTATGAAAATGTGTGTATTATAAGAATTGTTGAAACGTGATCGACATAGCACACGATTAGCTTAAATTAGTTAGCGCCGGTCCAACACTCAGGATCTTAATATGACTGACAGGATTGGAATGTGCTGTCTTTGTTGTGACATCTGCAAATGGCTTCTCGGATAACGACAACCTTGCCCAGGCATATAAAAATTGTATGGGGACTTTCGAGAACCCATACACAGCTGGGAAAGAGTAGAGCGGGAAATCTCGAAAAGCCCTGACGGGGGTGAATAACTTGCGTTTTACATTTAGTGCCAAGGTGTCCTCCTGAGTACGATGCTAAACTTGTTCATTAAGTATTACTTAGTGAATTGTTGTTTGTTTGTTTATTAATTTCTTTGTTGGTAATGCCTATTTTTCAAGATATTGTGATTTCAATTTTCATATGTCAGCTGAGTAAAGGTTTTTGTTAGCCCTAATCTCAGTGGAAAAAATGAAATTTATGAGTCCGCGTGAGTTTACTTCGCAAGATCTTTTCTGTTGGTGTTTATTTGTTTGCTGGTTTGATTGATTGTTTTCCAGGAAGAAGACAATGTTCCTGATGGTTTCGTGATTTATGGAGAAGAATACAAGAAGATCAGAGAAGCCATGGCCAAAACAGTGCTTGGTGGAACAAACAGAGAGCTGACTGACGCACTAAAGGTATAAACAAATCTGAAATACTTTAGTCTAACATTATCAGTTATTTTTCCTTTTGTACTCTTTATATTTTGCTGTTGAGTGTGCTTCAGTTGAAAGTTCTGAATCCAAAACCAAAGTATTTAACTTTGCTAATCGCAGTAGGTGATGACATCACACAAACTTTAGGGCAAACAAATTCGGGATCGTGTTCGTAACCAACATAACCAGTTATCAGTCAATGGTCGTCTTTGGATACACATAGACCTGTCATTAACGCTTGTCCACCCAAAAACGTTCCCTGAAATCTTTGCGCCGAGAGCTTTTTTCCGATCTCCCGTAGTTTATGAGTGGCGAATGAGGACGCCCCTGTGCGTGGGTCTTTTGTCTGTGACTGAAAAATCAAAAAAACAGTTTCACACTTTGTGAGAATCACATGATGTTTCTTGTTACATTTCAGTCCGTTACCGTAACAAACGTTGTAAGAGACGTTATGTAGCTATTGTCTTTATTCCGTGAAGTTACCACAACATGTTATGGCTTCACTGGCAAAGAACGTCGTCTCTCCACCAAGGTACGTGTTCCAGAAAAGAAAAACAAATATAACGCGATAATGGTATCGTATGTTTCGATGTTATGCCCCAGTCAGATTTACAAAATTTAATTTAAATTTGAATTATTAAAATATGGCTGGGGCGTAATATCGACAAATACGATATCATTATCATTTCACGTTATTACGTACGTTTCTCCCTTCTCCCAAATACTTTTTGTTACTCATTTGCATGCAATGAAAGTTTACAACACCCGAACAGTTAGCCATCGAAGTTTTGCTAATCAAGATTCTCCCTTATTTTTTGACCAATGACTTTTGTTCACTTGTTCCAAAGTAATCAACGCTTTCGAGCGATAGAATTCGTGGACCAACCCGTTCCGGAAAAGTTCTAAATCGCATTAATCTTTCCTAAGCTTTCTTCGCAAAACATGCGTGGCTTCGGTCGCGCAACGATTATTATTCCCAGGCGGTTTCCAAGGTCTCCGCTAGGAACGCCTGGGACCATGTCTTCCCTTTTGTGTACTTGATACAGTGAAAAAGGACGGCTTGCAGATGAGGAGTCTCGCTGCTACGCAAGCGACACTAATAAAGCATATTACTTCAGGTCTTCTTCGTCAAACCAAGTAAAACGAGTATTTGTATCCTCGTACACGTTTGTTCCTTTTTTGCTCAAACAGGCCCACCAGTGTCTTCAGGAATTCATACAAGAGGGCACATATTTGTCTGGAAAGGTAAGTCATGGAATGAGCTCTTGCTGTCTGTAAGCTTAAACGAAAATCTAAAGTTGGAGAAATTGAACTTCCTAAGATGAGAGTTATGCCCAAATATTATTTCTCGGGAAGAGGCTTTCGGTCTCAACGATACCTTAGTGCGAGCTTATGAATAAGACCCCCTTTCTTGCTTAATCACTTCAAAGACCCGTTTAATATCCCAAGATTTGTTTCTACATACAATGGCTTCCTTTAAAGTTTTCCATCCTATTAGCTGAAATTTTCTGATCTAGTTATTTTTTCCCTTTCTCCCCAACTTTCTTTTGTGGTTAGGCTGTGAGAGTAATTTTGTTGTTGGTGTTTGCTTCTTTATCCTCACTTTCTGATGTATTGCTTTCTACAGATCCAACCATTTGCCGCTCAACTCCTCGACAATACACAAGGTGCTCCAGGCATTCCCAGTGTTCGAGTCAGGTCTGGTCGCTCAGGCTTAGAACAGAATTTGTCAGAGCTTGTAATTCATACTACGACTGTGCTTCAGTCCGTTAATCACGTGACCATTTGCGAACCACTGCGACTGCTGATGGATAATCCTGCGGCCTTAATGGTACAGTTCTGTTTTTGCTTTTCTTTCCTTTTTTTTTTTTTTTGTTCTTGAAGGACGGTTCCTACCGATTGCCAAAATGCAAAATATGAATTGCAAATAAAATGAAAGAAACAGATGTGCTCCTCGCAGTTTTAAGATAAAGGTAAAAAACGTACCAAATGCAGGCTTGGTTAGAGTGTGAAACCGATGACCAGAGACACTGTTTTGTCCAATGGACCATTTTCACGATGACGACATTTGACTACATTTCGTTTCTGCTTTCCTAAATTTGTGTAAATCCCGCTTATGTTTAAAAAACAATGGCTCTTATTTGCACAATAATACAACAAACTGAAGGACTCTTGTAGTTGTAGTAAAGTGACGTCATCGAGCAATTGTCCTGTTGAGGTAACAGGGCACTTAAGAACCGAGAACGGTGAAGCTGGCGAAAACGTCACTTACGCGCTCTTACAGTCTTCATCGCCATCTTTTTGTGTCTTAGAACGCATACCTACCCACCATGCCTGATGACAATCTGCAAGAAGCAATGGCGGGAATGCGAGAGAGTGGAAAATGGTATCGTAAGTATCAAAGTGGTAAATTAAAGCTGTGCAGGCAGTTAGCTGACTTGAAACCGCAGTTTGATGCCTGACATTTTTAAGACAAAATAGCTTGAACAGAAAATAAGGTCCATGTTTGCTCTCTGGCATTAATAAACGTGAAAGACTTGATCCACAAAAAATTTACTTGTTTATGTGATAACATGGAAATATACAGCTCAACTACTTACGTGGAACCTTTCCTCCCCCCTCTCTACCCGGCGTTCAAAACCGCGAACGTCACTGAAACATGAGGTTGTGATTTAGTTTGGTGAATTGTCAGCTATTATTGCGCTTATTGCGTGTGTCGGTGTTGTTGGTATCCAAAGGTCGCTCCTTTTAAATGCATGTTAAGCAAAAGTAGGGGTGTTCTGTTTCTGTCAGTTCAAAAATTCGAGGCGTTTCCGACTGGTATTAGATTTGATAACTGAAAATACTAACTGCAAGTTTATTGAACGGCTTCAAAACCTGGAATTTAAGCCCAGAATAATTGAGCGGGAGGCACAGTCTCTTGTATTTTCGTCGATGATTTATGAAGGTTTAGTCCGGAGACGCTCTTGAACAAAGGTCAGGGATGTTCGACTTTTGAATACAAATACGTCGGCAGTTTACAAGTGACAGTTATGGACGACAATGCAATGTTTGGTGAAATAAATAAACTTTGTTTCCGGTGTTATTTTGTTGCAGAGTGCCCCAACGGACATCCCTATTACGTTGGAGAAGTAAGTGACGCTTTTTACTGCCATTTTAAAAGTTGCAAGTTTAAAACAAGACTTGTACCGTGGTCACTAACTCTACATATCTGTTTTCATGGTTTATTTTTACATAAATGTCAAATCACAAGTTTCTCTTTCTCCTAACAATGTTCTGCTAGGTTCCCTTGGTCTTACCGGTCGCTCAAGAGACCGGATTCCACACCAGGCAACTGAGTATTTCTCATGCTCCTTAGACATGTTTATTGTTTTATTTTCATTGTGATCCTGTTTCCTTACCTTGCAGTGTGGCTGCCCTATGGAGGTGAAGGCTTGTCCTGAGTGTAAAATGAAAATCGGTGGTAAAGAACACAAACCCTTTCGAGGAAATACTATAGCTGAGAGGTATGTATCGTTATCGTTATCCTTTCCCCGCCGACCTTGTATAAGTGAACAGAAAATGACAGGAACTTAAAAGAGGCTAACGACGTGCGTAAATCCTTAAGCAAAGTGTTGGGTTCAAGGAGTCTTCAAGGTAATCGTGGTATTCTGAAATGGCCTGGCTATCTTACTTGGTAAAAGGTTGTAATCTCACACAGCCTCATAGAGCTTACCACTATTCAGCATAAGCAAGTTCTCTTTTAGGTGGACTAAATGCTAGCTTATCTCTTGGTGATTTCCACAATTATCAGCTCGCCACTAACTACTCGCTGCCATAGATCTCTCTTAGAGAGAGGGATCTATGCAGTGGAAAATGCAATTGGTATCCCAAGTGCTTATCAACTGGTTCAACAGCAGGACAAATTTATCCTTTGCAACAACTTGAGACTACAATCTTGGACAAAACTGTTGAGAAAATTGTATACTTGGGGAAAATTTTTCTAAACATCGAAGCTGTGTCGGTTCGTCCCTCTCCCCCTTCCACTGAAAGCAATGTTGTTGTGATTCAAAAGAAAGCCTGATTCCTGGGCGTTTGTAGGAAGCAACATTGAACTGGAGGAAGGAGATTTCTTTCCGCAAAGGCGTCGTTTTGGAAATAGTTTTGTTGCGTAGAAAAGTGGACATGATGGGGAAAACTTACTCAGGTAGTTTTGTCCGGGATTGTAGGTTAAGAGATCGACGCGTTGGTTTGTAATTGCAATTGTACATTACGATTTTATAGTATCCATTCCCTTCGGTGCTTTTCATGGATAACTAGCAAAACTGGGGGGGACTTTAGCCCGACTGTTTAATGCGCAATTTATAATTGATTAAGCAATGATTTATGAATGCCACCTGATCTGAAAGTGAAGTTGAGATAGACCACCACACCGGGGACCACATTCTCTACTCTTTACGAACAGTGTGTGGTTTCTTTATCGTCCCAGAAAATTTTATGTGAGCTAGGGCTGTGAGACAGGGTCTACGGTTTATCGTCCTTAGCCGAGAAGACTAGAAAGTCCAACCGTTTGCAGATGTCATGACAAAGGCGGCACTCTCTCCTCAGTTATTTGAAGACCCTGTCTGTTGGTTTGGCCGAGGTTTGAACCCGCTGCCTTTCGCTCGGTAGATGTACGCTAATCCAACAAGCTAACTAAGGGTAGAATCCTGACGTTCAGAGATAAAGTGTGATGCTCATTATTCTTGTCATATAGTGGGTTAACCAGACACATCGGAAATTAGTTTGCTCAAATCGACTCATCACATTGATCATGAAAGGTCTTTTACAAGTATATTTTTCTTGTTCTGTAGGGCTGACCGCACAATGATAGGCCACGTTCTTGGGCATCCCAGTAAAAGGGCCAAAGGTTTGGTTCCTGAACGGAACCTTTCGTCCGTAGTTGTGGGAGTCACAAGGGTTCTTATGCATTGCGCTATGATAGAAGGAGCCTGCCGCCAACCACAGGTGATTAAAAGTCGCTTTTTATGTCTTGAGTGTCAGGGCAGTGTTGAAAAAGGCTAACACAAGCTTCTATTTTAGAGAAGCAGCTAGAAGCTGTCTCATGGAATTCCCTGAAACTTTAGAGACCAAGCAGACTATTTCCTTAGTTGCTTTCAAATCCCTTCCTGGAATAATCCGTTTAGCTCGTCACTGCTGACAAATAAATAAAGCAATTGTCGCATTTTGTTATTTAGTATCCGGATTAATATATTTTCGAAGCGTTGTTGATTTATACTATATTGCTAGAATTACGCAGTTAACCAAGGCCCCTTTAAACTGTGTATTGCCACCGAAGTTAAAATCAAATGAAATAAAATGTGAATGCCAGTCATTTAGAAGGGAGTAAAACATTGACAGCTGTAATATTTATGATAGTATGGATGGATAACTTGTTTCTCATTATCCCTGTTTTGTGTCTCTGTTTAGGGTTTGGGTGCCCTCATCCAACCCAAAGTTCCCCCCGCGGCCTTGGCGCAGTTTTTATGGGATCACCTCCAGATGGACCTACAGCTTCTCGCCAAAAGCCTTGGAAGAAGTGTGGATGATACAGTTCTTTGCGTTCACATGGTTCTTGTGCAATTGACCACGCTTATTTCTAACCGTGAATTGAAAAGCACAGTCGAACACCGACCAAAATGACAACCATACCATGGCTAAGGGATCAGAGGGTTTTGTGTTGTGCTTAAATTGGAGTTACCTAACGTTACTTGTGTTAATTAAGTTAAACTGGAAATTCAAAATGTTAAATGCTATAAATGACTGCGTTGCGTACAGGTATTCGCACTTACGCGGATCTATTCGGAATAAGCTTACGCAGCTACCACGCATCACTTGAGTAACTCTGTTAAGTCGAAACTTATTTTGCTCTCGCTGTTCAAGAACCTAAAATGTCCACGTTATTTGAGTTAAAAGTGCACAGAAAGCAATGCATATGAATAATATGGGCAACTGAAACATTTAAATACTTAACTGACCGAACTTTTTAAAAATGCCTAACGAGATCCATTTAATTTCTTAAGGCCCTATGAACCCGTGTTCCCTGAGTAGTTCTGGTGAAATTTTTTAAAAAAGAAGTTCTGACACTTGATGACATGATCGTCTTTGTATCACCAGTCTTTGAAAGATGGAGGGGGCATCAGTGAACCCATAGCATTCTTGGGAGAGACGAGGGGATGACGAAAAAATCCAGCGACATTTGAAAAGAGCATGGCAAAGAGAAGAAATAACCACTTCTTATTTTAATCAACTTGAGTTATTGGAAGGTTTTTTTTTTCGTTAGAAAATAAACCTTGCAGCTTCCTACAGGTCAAGTGTCTATGTGTCATGCAAGACACACGAAGAAATCTTTTACCCGTTTTCAGATCTCTTGCTTTTATTTTAGGACAACCAGTCGTGAATGTCGCCCCTGATTTGAGGTCCAAAGATTCTCGAAGAAAATGGGAAACAGCTTTCAGCAACAGGGTGGTGGCTCCAGTGCTTACGGTATGCCGACTTTACTTTAAAATAATGATATTATAATAATGATATCATTTTGATGCTTTTGGATTTTCTTATTTGATTCTCACTTCTTAAGAACCTCGAGGGAAAGATCCAAAATTGCTTGGAAATGATGGTTGGAGACAATCGACTGGGTAAGTTTTTACGTGTTATTTCAAAGTGTACATTATTTATTTATTTGTCTATATTTTTGCTTTTAGTTAATAATTTTAGAGAACCAACTAACCACCCAATGCGACGAGACTGAAGTACACATTAAAGTACACGAAGGAATGCTCGGAAAAAAAACCAAGCCCCCTAGCAGGAATCGATCTCACGACCCTCCAATCACCTTTTGACGACTCTACCCACTGAGCTATGGGTGACTCATATAGTGAGCAGGACGTACACTTGAGGTAGTCACAGGACTTCGCATCTCAAGAGGACACAGGTCACTTATCAAAGCAAAGCTAAATACCTGCATATCGTAAGCACCTAAACTAAGAGTTGTGAACACTTAACAGATTTAGTGATTCAACCACCCAATGCGATCACTAAATCTATAACTGACACAACTCTTATTTAATTTGCTTTCGAGATACAGGTAATTTAGTGAGTGTTTTGTCTTTGATTAGTGTCCACTGTACTCGTTACATGCGAAATTCTGAGTACCTCAATTGCACCTCACGCTCACTATATGAGTCACTCATAGCTCAGTGGCTAGAGCCTCCAAACGGTAACTGGAATCTCGTGGGTCAGAAAAATTTAACCGGGTCTTTGTGTACGTTAATATCTACTTCAGTTTTTTCAGTTAATTTACATTTTCATTAACTGGTTTATTTAAATCCGTTTTGTCCTTATAGAAAACATGATGTGCTTTCCGCGCCGTGTAGTTTTGAAAAGCAGAAAACCCCATTACGTTAAATGTATCATTCCGATTCTTTCAGGCAACAACCCCCTGATGCGCCAGCTATATGAGGTAGACATCACACCTGATGATCTGTCTGTGAGTATCTCTCCTACATGTCCCGCACTGTGGAGATATCGAACTCAGGTGACTCTCGATCACCTGTCACACACATTTCAACAAGAGGTGGCCTCCACCGATCCCGAGAGGAACAAAGTGTTAGCGGAGTTTTTACGACAGGTGAGTGCAAGTTAGGTTGCATTTAAGGAGCTTTGTTACCAGGCTATTGCTGTCTTGGGTCAATGCTGTGCAAAAGTTTTTATTTAGAGACTTTTCCCATACACAAAATGCTCCTGAGGAGTTATGAAGAAGATACCAAATAAGTGTCATCAGGGAGCACTATTAAACCACAACAATTTTCCGGTGATTTTTGCAGGCACAGCATTGACAATTGAATTTCACCATCCTTGCCATCCGTTACAAAGGACAACAGGAAAAAGTTCCACGGCCTAAATCTTAATCGGCACCATTATTTTTGGAATTCAATTGATGCTAAGACAAGTTTTAACTTTTTAAATATGTAGCAAATAGAGTGACATGGCCCCTGTGCTTAATAGGTTTGCTAACACCATACGATTTTGTCATTGAAATCAATGGCTGCAAAGGAATGTTACTATTAAAGACAAAGTGATAAGTAAATAACAGTGTGGCTCCTTGCAGCAATAAAAATTGTCTGTGAACAGTCCCCCGAGGGAGCTACAATCAGGGACAAACCTAGTTGACACACTTGTTTAAAACGGGTGCTTTTAACAAACATTTAATTCATTTATTATTTCATTCTTTTTAAACGCCGTAAATCCCCTCACCTCCCGAATCAATGTTGTCTGAAGTAAAAAAAAAAGACGTGAGGGTCCAAAATTCAACATTGATTTTGGGCGGAAGAGGTTGGGGTAGACAGGGGAAGGGGATAAGTATATCCACTATGCAAAAAGGGGCCATTTTATGGAAGTGTGTCAACACTTTAGTCCCTCATTGTAGCTTCTTCTTTGTCCTGTAACCCACTATAGACCTTGTTCACAGGCCGCAATAAAAATACTGCCCAACTGTCTACGCCCCTTCGAATCAATTTAAGCCCTTTTCAATAAACTATGTACTTTTGTACTCGCGGATAATGGATATCTATTAGTGTAATACAAGACGTAGAAATTATGATCATCTCCTTTCTCCTCTTTTTTAGGAACACAATCTCCGTGCCCTCCGCTTTTTGCCAGATATCATTAAGCTACAGCGTCTTCTCAGGGAAAAATTCCATCGCAGAATCGACAGGGCAGAAGCAGAGCATATCACAATTCGAAATTTCCTAAACAAGATTCCTTCTAGTAAGTTTATTGTCCGAATATGAGATTACCTAACAATAAAAGCCTGGCAACTAATTATCACTGGATGAAAAAACAGATTTGAAATGAGATAAATGTGGGACAAATGTGGTCTAAATATAAAATTTGTCATATTTGTTCACATTTGTGCAAAGCACAAATTAGACATTTGTCTTTAAGACAAATAGGATAATGATGCATTTGCTATCTAAGACAAATGTGAACAAATGCTGTGTAAATGTAGGACAAATTTAACATTAACTTTGTGACAAATACAGATAAATGAGCCAAACTGCAAACAAATGTGTTCAAATGTGTTCAAACTTTGTCAAATAACATATTTGTATGGACAAATATAGAGCAAATTTTATATTGTAAAGTGAGCGTGCCAGGCCAGTACATACGTACTACCCTTCTCTCTTTTCTTCCCTGGCATCTACCCCTTTATTGCTTCTTGCAATTTGCACTTAACACTAGCTTTCAACCTTCCTTTAAAGTGGACTAATGCTGCAGAAGTTCATTCAACTCAACTAGGACAGGTTGAAAGACCATCAGTTCGATCCCTTTCCCCCTCATTTATCACAACCCTTGCCTGAAACCCTGATATAACAAAGACACTGCTAAAACAGTAACAATCTTCATTGCACTTTGTTCCTTAAAACTTCTTAAAATTAATATCAGAGTTCCACTGTAAAGGGTGCAAGGTGATTACAATTTTTAAAGAAAAATGACTCAAGCATTTTAACTGACAATTCTCATTTATTTCACAAAGCTTGTCCTGATCTTACAATTAACTGTAAAACAAAACTAAAACATTAAGTTTAACAAGTGTCAGTTCATTTCAGGATGACCAAGTCAAAAGACTTTATTAGGTAGATAAATAAACAGAAAGTGACCAAGGTGGGATTGCAAAGATCACTTTTTTTCCGAAGTGACCGAAATGGGGTCTATAATATGGCCACAGAGTAAACTATCGGTATACAGTAATGGGATAGGGATACTGAGAGGCCAGCAGCACATACCCAGTAAAAATTAACCATTAAATAAAACTTTCCCTTCAGGTACCATTGGTACAACATCCAACAAAGTGTATCTTTAGTTAATTACCACAGGAAAGATAACAATCTTCATTGCACTTAGTTCCACTGTTATTAGAGTATGTAATTTTAAATAATAGCTATTAAAAACACCTCTGTTAAGTGGACACCTTGAGATGGTCCCTGTTTCTCTTTATAACTCACTCTATTTGGATCTCTATAAGACGGATATACCGAGTCAGTAGTGCTGGTCCCAAAGGTGTCCATCTTAAAGAGAGTTGACTGTCCAGACAAAATATTCTTATTTCTTATATTAAAAATATATCTAAATGCACTTTAGGAAATACCAATAACAAAAAGCAAATGCCTCACAATTGCCAAGGTTTGTTTGGTGGGCTATTGATACTTGCCAAAGGTAACAAAACTAATGAAATAGCTGACTTCTGGAGTGACTGCTAGAGGGTTTAATGTACATTTGTCATTAATCAATAATGCTACAAAGACTTGACTAAAATTTGGTAAACAGCAAAAATTTCACATATCATAATATATTTTTGTACACGCATCTTATTGATGGCTTGAGAATTTGCAAAGTAATCAAAGACTATACCATTTGCACTCTTCAATGTTTGCCACAGTTAACCAAATAATCCAAGTTACATTTATATAAGCTCTTAGAAAATCCATAACATGTACTGTTATTAAAATCTATAAACAAATAATGGACTTTGGACATTTAAGCCAACAGTTAAACCCTGATTATCTGGACCTCAATTAACCAACTTTTTGATTATCACAACTTTTCCTCTGGTGAAAGATTTCTTAAATGAATATTGCAAATAAACGAGAAGGTAAACCTAAGCCTGATTTTCTTTTGGCTTCACATCTTCGAAAGAGTCATTGAAAAGTTTTCTTTTGTCTTTGAAAAGCAGAGTTGGTACTTTTATGTGATGTCAGCCTGCAAGGAAAGTCGTGTCCAATAGCCCGGGGCTAGTGGATTTTGCTATCAGGCTAGTGATTTTTGTTCTTAACTTGCCTGATGGGCAAGTGCTGTTTTTTGGAGAAATTCAAATTACCGAAGGATTGTAATCAATCCTGCTAATCAAAAAGGGTTTGGGGGCTAGTTGAAATGACTTGTGGGCTAGTACGGGGTAGCTACAGCTTGCCAGAATGGCAGGCTGTAAAACTGACTTTCCTTGCACCCTGGAAGTATATGATAAATTAAACTACCCTATTAAGACAAAAAAATGCCACAGTTGATTATCTTCTGTGAAAGGTAGCCTCATACTACTAATAACATATACTTTTCTATTATCTCCACTCTCTTTCTCATTAAATTCATATGAATTCATATAAACAAGGCCAGGCCAGGTTGTGTAATGCTAGTTTATGCAAACTTTGAGTTGAGATAGGAAAGCTTATAAACAAATTCACTTTAAAAGTTCTTTTTGTCTGCAATTTGATGATTGGATGCTCTAAAAAAGAAGAGCACATTAAGTGTGAAAATGTTTTTGAACGAATAAACAAGGAAACCAAATTATTTAAAAATTTATCCCCGTGTGGGTTCTAATAAGCCTTAGAACAACTGGGCCTAGGCCTTGACTGAGAAGTGGCCTGAATGTGGCTCATGATGGACCGTCAGGTGCTGGCCTCTCGGATATCCCACCCTCAAACCTGGGCTTTGCCATAGCTCTGGCATGAGGGATAAGATTCTTAAGGTAAACAACACCTGAGGCTGTGCTCTCCAGGTCACCCGTGGCAACTGACTTTTAATCCTGAGTGTCTAAGGCCCAGTTCAAACGTCAAAATTCACATGAGCAGAACTTTATTCCTGATTTTGTCTACTTAAATAGTTAAATGCGGCATTTGATTTAAACGTCAAATTTAACTCCCTAAACTCTGTTGAATTTAACTCTGTTAAAAGTCAATATTCCCAGTAATATAATAATAATTTACCAAAATTCATGCATTAAGTTGGCACATGTGAAATGCGACGTTTGAATCAAAAGTTGAACCTTAGTCAAATCTTCAACTGTTTCAGTCGCAGATACGGCAAACATCGCATTTAATTTAAACAGTCTTATTTAATTGATTCAAACGTTGCACTTCACATGCATTTAACTCTTGCGTTAAGTTTGGCTCAAGTGAAATTCGACATTTGAACCTAGCCTAAAAGAACGTTTTTCATAGGAACCATATCTTGAGCAGTGTGGATTTCACAGTTTCATAGCAATGGACTCAGTCCCTTCAAATTTTCTTTGAGCACAGCCATTTGGCTAGAAAAATATTTTAACACTCATGAGGTAAAAAAATAAAACATAAATTTGTGAACATACTCCTCTTCCACTTTAGAGCCACTTGTCATGTTTTTTGTCAACCATCTTTCTGCATGTTGGAAACAAAACAAAAATTATAGTTGTAAATTTACCAAATAAAGTGCTATGTTAGATAAGCTTAAACTTAAGCTTTGAGACAGAAGCATATAACCCTGATAAGGACTTCTGCTTTGAGATAACCATAATCATCCATAATATACATGTATTTGATTGCTTCCAACAGCAACTTTCTCCAGGCCATCGATCTCGTTTTGTTTGAAGAAGAAATAAATATGCCCCACTTCAAAGACTAACATTGTACCTCTCCTTTCTCTCATTTTTGCCTCGTCGTGAGAGACCTCTGCTAGCAGGGAATCAAAAATTGGGCGCTTTAAGCTAAGTTGTAGGTTCCTGTGATGTTTGATACAACGCAGGCAAGTCGGCGCCTTTGAAGACACGCTATCAGTTCAGCTCCAAAGAATAAGCACAGACTCTCACGATCAAAAGCATTTCTTATATCATCAAAGCAACAAGAAAGTAAACCTACCCTTAAATCCATTGGAACTTTTCCTTTAGATTCTCTGCGTGACAGTTTTGAGCCGCGTTTGCTGTTATTTAGTCGCTCCTGTTTTGCTAGTTATGCACTTATCAATTGAAACCCCGACCCCCCCCCCGACCCCGGGCCAAGGTGGGGATTTGACTTGACATCATTACAAATCTTAGCAAACTCCCACCCTACTGGGGCATATTGACTGGTAAAACCCCCACCCAGGTGGGGAAACCTTTTTAATTCCCTGACTGACTTTATTAATATTTCGTTCGAATTTTCAACTTCTTAATATTGACAAATTTACTACAGCAAAAAGGCAAATATGATAACAGACCAAGATATAAATACAACAAATATTTGACAATAAGTAAACATAATGACCCCTACCCACTTATAAAAAAGTCAGGGTACAAAATGGATGATGGAGTAGCACATTGCTATAAAGTTATATTAAAAGGAAATCCGTACCATCTCCATTGAAAGTAATATCTGCAATGATAAGTTTAATTGAAAATAGCAGCCAACATACCTTAACCTTCACAAGCTGATGTTATAAATAGACTGCATAAAATAGTTCCTAGGAGCTATATTTTATATTTTGGCTTAAAGAATGAGGAAATATAGAACTTCAGAAACCACATGGGTTTAACACTAGACGTTAAACGAGCTGTGTCATGAAATTTACCAAAATGTAGGCTGTGGGAACTGCCACCAAATTGAGTGAAACATAAAAATAACCGCTTAAGACATTAAAAGATGGTATAAATGACTCAGCAAATACAAAAGAAGGTACAGATGGGAAAACATGAAGAAGATTAAAACGGATTGAAATTTTGGTTTTGAAAACTTGTTAACCTAACAGTTTTTCAAAGTTCATTGTTTTCGTCCGTAACGCTTGATATGCTTGGGAGAAACATCTGTTTAAAACGAAGCTTTGATTTCTTCATTTCTTTGCCAACGTAACGCTCAAAAGCGAATAGGGACCACGTAACTGGCAATATTAACAAAATGAACCAGATAGCCATGACACAGCACCTTTTATAATAAGTAGAGGAGTTTGTATCTGCATTGTTTGAGAAGTTTTGAATAACAATAACAATTTCCAGTCAACGAACCATGAAAGCTCAAGGCAAAATCGCAAAGGATTAGTCTCAGTGAAGAAATGAAAGGAAAAACAATTAGGAAACTTACGGCTGAGCAATACATCAAAATACCAGTGATCACGTGAAGAAATTACCGTGAGGAAACTAGGCACGAGTCAAATCCCCACCTCGCTCCCCGACTTCCATGGACTTCCATGAATATGCTAAGCAAATCCTGAGAAATCCCCCACCCCCACGGGCTAACCATGCCTTCAAATACCATAAAAATCCCCCATATTGCCCCACATAGGCCCGGGGTGGGGGGGGTCGGGGTTTCAATTGATAAGTGCATTATGTTATCTTGCTGAACTGCTGCGTTTGCTTCTTTCAGTTTCTTCTGGCTCTCTAAAATAGAGTCTAGTCTCCTGTTCATGTTTTCCATCAGGAAAAGTTGTCTTTCTTCAGCAGGATTGCTTGTAGCCATGATTGAACCATAAAATACGAGTCTAAAGACAACGAAAACTAAGGGCCAAGCTGACAAAGAACTTTTCGAAATGAACTGAAGACGCTGTCAAAATGGTGATCAAACATACCGCGCGTGTAGCCGTAGACATTTGATTGGCGTTCTATCGCTGACGTAACTTTAACGTCACAATATCTGAACGCGAGTACTTTTCGCGCATTCGCGCGCGCGTTCATTCAAAAAGACGATCAAAGATGAAGGGATTAGCTGGGATTAGAGAATAGGGTGTACTTATCAGCAGCACTTACCTGGACTTAAGCATAAATTCTGGAATGGATTTCACGTAATACTGATATTTACTATAATTATTGTTATAGTGAAACCTCTATTAAACGAACCCCCAATTAAGCGGACACCCTCTATTCAGTGGACACTAAACCGGGTCCCGAAATTTTAATTACGTCTTAAATTTCCCTTTATAACGAACCCCTATTCAGCGAACACTTCTATTAAGCGGACGCGGACACTAAAATAAATTGTATTTGGCTAATTTTTATTGTTAATAACCTCTATTAAGCGGACAGCGGACCGAATTAACAATAGTAGTATTGGATTACGTCCTTGAAAAACGTGCTGTAGTCGATTAATAAAAGTAAATCAATACATTTGGCTGTCGATAAACTGTAGATTATACCGAGAGTCTTGCACAACGTACAGCACGGCTTCCTTAGCTTCCTTAACAACATGGAACTTTATCACAGTACAGAGTAACCGTTGAAAGTTAAACATTGCACAACTTTTACAAACCCTGTTAAGCGGACACCCTCTATTAAGAGGAGTCTTGGGAAGGTCCCGAAGGTGTCCGCTCAATGGAGGTTTCACAGTATTATTATTATTTTTTTTTCTATAGTTAGGTCTTTTTATCGGGAAATTGGTACGGAAAATTAACAGCAATAGATTTATATCTCGCCTCATGGATCAGAACCTTATCTTATTAAAATCAGCGCATTGACTTTTACGCCATCCACTGGGACTGTTGAATTGATTTTTTATAACTCTATTGATATGGACGTTTTCTTTATATGAATATTTTACTGAAATTTTGTGTGTAGTTTTTATAAGATTTTAAAAAAGTATTCTTTTTATTATTAAAAAAGTTATAGTTTTCAAAATTGTCACGGTACTTATTTACTTATTTATCTTATATTTGTTATAGCTTAAACATGACATAAAGAGTTCAGTGATTGTACAGTGGGACTCCGAAATAACGAAGAATATTTTTTCTAGTCCCTTGGTCTTTCATTATGTCTAGCGGTATATATGGTGATGTGGTTTAGACCCTATAGTGTAGGGTGGTAGTGCAAATAAGACTCTGCCATATGACTGAATAATTTTGGTCTTTTGACTAGAGTTGAACTTTCATATTTTCAGTGGCACAGCATAATGATCAAAACACTGACAACTCATCAGTTTTAAGGAGTCAAAGGGAGGAGGAATTCTTTCCTTTTACATCTAATCCAACTTTTCAATCTTGGTAATAAAAAAGGCTAGTGAGCCTCACACTTGCAACGCAAGGTAACTTTCTAGCATACGCTAAAACTTCAAAAGACTTCTTTTTAATACATGGATATAAACAAATTGTGATTTTTATGAAGAGACGGTAATTTCCCTTTTATTCACTTCACTTAAAGTAATTTTTAATTTCCCTTTTATTCACTTCACTTAAAGAATTTTTAATGTTTAAATTTTTATCGTGTAGTCGTAATTTACGCTGGGCCCCTATTGATACCAGCCAATGGCTGATAGGGCCACTCTGCCTAAATAAAGTTGACTCTGACTTGACTTGACTTGAATACAGTGGAACCTCGATATAACGAGCCTCTGTAAACGTTTTAATCAGTGTATAAAGTACGGTAAGTTGATCGGAGCATTGATCTAGTGTGAGTAAGGCGCAATAATAGCTAGCCAGAAAATCCCTCATTGCAATTTCTACAGATCTACACCTACATGCATCTACGAGTACTTGACAAGGGTTACTCATTGCGTCAAAAACAACCAAATAAATAAATTAATTAATTAATGAGACAAACAATAGCCTTGTTTCTAAACAATTCAGAAAATCATATAGCGATTTTACTAGAACGAGAAGTCAAAACGTTATTTTTCTCGTATTTGTCTTGTTTTAAGATATCTTTGTACAAGGGCAAATATAATGGCATATTTGAATCACATTTGTCTCACATTTCCTCAAGACAAATGTGATAACAGATTTGTCTCACATTTGGGACATTTGATGGGTGGACAAATCTGACATCAGATTTGTCTTAGATTTGTCTTTAAGGCAAATATCATTAAATTCAATTTTTCGTCCAGTGTATAATCACTGTGGATAGAAACAAGGAACAAAATACTTTCTTTTATGTTTTAGATTTCAACGGAACTGTCTTCATTTGACTATTTTCTTTGGATTTCCTTTGTATTATATAAAAGCCATGCCTCCGGGTTCGAAGGGCTAGTTTGTATCACAAAGAAAACATCGGTGGATGATGCTTTAAACGTTTTTATTCAGATTTAATGCGTGCTAACAAACTTATTACCCGAGTATTTTGTTATTTTCTTTTGACGATAAGAATCTATTGTTTACAAGTGACAAAGCATTTCATCATGATTCAAATGATACCTCATGGGTTCTCGAATTACGGCAGTATGTGAAAAGACATTTTCCACTGCGCCATTTTAGCACAGAAAGAGCTTCATGTTATGAAACTGTTCGGATAAATTGTCCATGCAGATAACAATATCTCGTACCTTTTGTTAAGCTTCAAAAACATAACAGCATAGAATATTATGTTGATTCTCTTTTATTTGTATGAACAAAACGAGTTTGGTTTTTCTGATTTAATTTGAATTAAGAAAGTAAAAAATGAAAACTTTCTTATGGTTTCCTGCGACAGAAAAATGGTGGGTTGTATCACGTGATACCCGTGTTCCTTTCTGTTACCATGTGACCAAAAATAACCAGTAAAATCGGGCCAAAATTAGCCTGCGCAGCTGGCGGTATCGTCTCGGTGCACGATTAAAGTTTTGGCGGCGGAGCCGTGATCCAGAAGGGAGTGGGACGAGGCGTCTAAAATATTTCTATTTCCATTTCTATTTCTCGCGGCTTACGCCGCTTGTGGCGGCTTCGCCGCCAAAACTCATTCGACTACTACACAGTACCGCCAGCTATGCGGGCTACGCTAATTTTAATTCGTAATATTCTCCACAGAAACAACTAAAGATGAACTCACCTCCCTGATAATGAGTTTTAACAATGCGTGGAATCTTGTCAGACTGAGTCTTGACCAGCAAGGTATGTCTCCTAGACCTGTCAGTCTGCCTTTACCTTTCTGGTAAATCACAATTTTGTGAATTGCAGGAGCGAGTTAGATTTGCTATCTAACCCTTTAATATCCCTCGCAAGAAGCTAGCGTCGATGGTTTTTTGCAAGAAGAACTTGCTCGTTTTAAACAACGGGAAGATGATGGTTTTATCTTTGCGCTATGAAGATTAAGTCTTATTTTACAGATCCTTTATAAGGGACAACTGTCAATATAAATTATATTGGACAGTTTCGAGTCGTGAACTTTTAGACGAAGAAAATTAAAGGGTATGTGCCACCCCAAAGGGTAGGGATTTTGCACGTTTTGGTCTGAAAACGGATTATAGACTGCTCATTTTGGTCTGGAATCGGGTATGGTTTTTAAGAGAACTACGGCAGTGTACGAACGTATTTATTGTTTCTATTCCAAATGAGTAAGAAAGAAAGAGAAATATACCAATCCGAAATGGATTTTAAGAAATCTTTTTGTTGCTGCTCTAATCTAAGTAATGATGACATAATTTCTTAAAGGCCAGTTCTGAGAATGGGAATGGATTTTAGAGGCCAGGTCTGAAAACGGGTGTGAAAAATGACATTTTTGGATATGAAATAGGGTCAGGATTTGGAGATCCGACTGGTACACCCCTACCAAGAATTCCCAGGAGTAACCCCGCGATCTAACGCTAATAATAATAATAATAATAATAATAATAATATTTAATACTTATTTTGCGCTTTTTCTATAAAAATACTCAAAAGCACATTACAATATTATTAATAGAGACCTTTAGATTCGAGGACGACTACGAGTACGAGATTTAACTTTAAGTTTTTTCGCGTATTCTACAAATTTAGACACCCCGGAACGCTTCATTTTACCATTTTTCTCTAGAAAAGTTAGCACTGTTATCTTTACTGACGGACGTTACGCGCTCTCACGCAAAATGATAAAACTTTTAACCTTTGATATCTTGTTTTCGCCACTTCGACATTCGCGCTAAAACTCGTAGTAGAATGACGACGGCTACCACGTTTTCCCGCCAAAATGACGCTGGTTCACGCGCAAGCACCACTTAGTACAGAGAAAATCTTGTACTCGTAGTCGTACTCGTCTTAGAATCTAAAGGTCTGTAATAACTAAATTAAAACCAGTAAAATTACACGGTAAAATTACAATATTACAATATTAAAATTACAATATTAAAAAATAAAAATAAATAAATAAATAATCTAACTAAAAGCCTTTTTAAATAAATATGTTTTAACAGAGCGTTTAAAAGAGTCGATTGATGTTTCCTGTCTAATTGGCAGAGGAAGACTGTTCCATAAAAAGGGGGCAGCCATCGATAACGCGCGATCTCCCAAAGTCTCTTAGCCGAGGTCTTTCTAACAATATACCATTATTGTTACGGCGTAGTTGGTAACGTGAGACCGGTAAGACAGAGACAAGATCCTTAAGATAGCTAGGCGCAACACCGTGAAGAATCTTAAATGTAACAAGGAGAATCTTAAAATCTACGCGCAAGCGCACTGGTAGCCCGTGGAGTTCTCTTAGCAAAAGGAGTAACGTGACAATACTTAGGTGCACAGTAAACCAATCGAGCACTGGCATTCATGACTCTTTGAAGTTTCTTAATTTGATACTCAGGAGCACCGTACAATAAACCATTACAGTAGTCAAGCCTGCTTGTGATGAACGCGTGAACAAGCCTCTCGGTGGACTCACGAGACAAATACTTCCTAATGTGCCGGATATTGCACAAATAATAAAACGCACTAGCACAAGTCTTAGTCACATGAGTCGACATGTCCAGATGAGAATCGAACCAGGTGCCCAAATTGCGCACTGAAGAGGCAGGCGATACCTCAGCTTGGCCGATCTTGATCTTGTCAACGGACACGTTTGATAACTGTCGTTCCTTGCCAATGATCAAGAACTCAGTTTTATCGTCATTTAGCATTAACTTATCATCTCTCATCCATGCGCGAACGTCACGAATACAGTTCTCCATCGCAATCACAGCATCAGCCTCGCTGGTCTTATCAACGGGATTAAACGATATATATAGCTGTGTATCACCCGCGTAGGTGTGAACGGATGGCAGATGAGATTTCATGATGTCAAACAGCGAACTCGCGTAGATAGTAAATAAGAGGGGGCCCAAACAAGAACCTTGTGGGACCCCGCAAAACAGATTAAATTTAACCAATCCTTTTTTTTTAAACAGGGCGCCTTCGTCCTCCAAGTGATTTATGCGAGAAGTCCATGGATAACTTGCGTCCTCTTGCAGTACTATTGCCCAGTACGTCTGGGTTGGGCATCTGCTCCATGGCTCTGGTATTTTTTCTCACCATATTACATAACGAGTTTAACGAACGGTACCAGAATTTGACGGGTGGAGAAGTGAAGTAAGTATCTTTCTTGTTACTCATCCTCCCTCTCGTCTGGAGCTGTTATATTTTTCAATTTTACACTACTACATGAGAAATTTCTGCAATTTGATTGGCTTAGAGCAGTGGTATTTCAGATTAATTTGAAATACCTACATGTGAAAATTACAAACCTTTTGTGGGCATTAGTATAAACAAATAATAGCATGATTTGTACGTGATATTTAGCATAAATACCACTTGCGATATTTCAAAATGTCTCAAATTCACTCGCCTAACGGCTCGTGAAATTACGTATAACAATTTCAAATATCACTCGTGGTATTTATGCCAAATATCACTACAAATCATGCTATTACCTAATACTAATACTGTTTATTCAAAATATTTCGCCATTTCTGATTGGCTCCAATCCTCCCTCATAACCAACCGGTGCTAACCATATTTGAAAAATGTAGTCAATAACGTAAATAACCCATCGATTCTATGGTATATTGCTAGCAGCCTCGTTTCCACGCAGTAGCCGCCTCAGTTGTGTGGAGCTGTATGGCAAGGCAGCGAAAGTTGTTTATGCCAGACTGAACTAAAGGAAAATAGCGTTCACGGCTATCCAAAGACAAAATAACCGAATTTCTAACTAAAACTGAACAGAAGAAATGCAATAATACGCAAAAACAATTATTGCTAGATAGATGTCGAGTATCTACAATAAAAAGCAAAGTTTACATCCTGGAACCGTGCCGAGAAACAGGTAAATGTTTGAATATTTTTGCGGTTAGTACGGATACTAACACCATTTGTCCTCTCTAGGGACCTGCCTCACATACAGCCACAAGACATAACCACATCACAACTCATAATTGCTTATGACACTGACAGAGATCTACTTCCGCTCATCCTGGCTCAATGCAACTACACTCTGGAGGTGGGTCGGGGAACGTTGGTACAGTACAACTGGGATGCACTGGAAAGACAGCTGATTGACAGGTTCATTAGGGGAAGACCTCTTGTTGATTTCAAGGTAAACTGTGGAATTTCCACGTAGAATTTAGATTGAAAGATTGGGGACACCAATCCACTGACGGGCGATTGTTGAGTTTATATCGAGAAATCTCTGTGTACTAATTTTCCCCATAATCATTGACGTAAACACCTTTGAGTGTTTACGTTCCCTATAAATCCTTAAATTTAATCATTTTCGATCGGGTTGTCAAACCACATTTTGTAAAGAACAACACTGAAACGTTCCACATTGTAAAAAACTGCAGCAGAGGCATTCGTTACCGCTGCCGTCAAACAACTCTACAAAGGCCTATTCAACCGTTTTGTCTGAAATTAGTCACTCAAGCTTAGAAAGTTGAATTATACAGCAATTAAGATAGATTGCGTAAGTTACTTGTGGAAGAACAATTTCCTTTACGTTTTTCGTAGGATTCTCAATGCTCAAACTGTCGACAAGAGATTAGCGAATAAAAAGAAAAGAAAAGAAAAATTGACAATGGGACCTCAAGTGTGCAAGTGTGGCACGCTGCATATCGGTCAAAGTGTTTCGTCAGATTTCTCTCTTTATTCACTATTTATATATTTATTTAGTAAGTTAATGACTCACACATATATTTATTTTCCAAAAAAGGTTTTCACGGTCCCTTGCTTACTCTCATTTACTCTTTAAAAAGAGCGTAGTGTTAAGAGTTCATTGCTGCCGTTCCATTTTCTATTTATTGTACTTGATTTTAAAAGCCCAATTTGTTCAATTATTTTTGTAGGATGAGAGGTTTGCATTCAGTAAAGATATCCAACTGGACTCTGTCTTTGCTGCTGTAAAGGCTAAAGTTCCTCAGGTAAAACCATTCTTATTAGTGTGCTAGAGCTAGCCTGCAGACTAGCCTCAAGGAGTATAACGACATTAAAATTAATTGTACGAGAAACGGTTACCCCGCGTGACACATGCCTCGATTGTAAAGAAGATTCAAAGTCACGTGAGTACTCAGTTTTTTGCAGTTATTGGAAACGAAAGAGGCACCTTCATCCTCGAATATATTAGGACCTGATTGTAGTAAATGCAATCCATAGTGTTAATTGTCGTAATATCGATGACCAGAAGCACTCTAAAGAACTGTGCCGTTCAATTAAACTACGAATACATTTTTGTCTTTTCTCAGGTTGCTCTGAGTTCAGCAGTAAGCCGTCAAGTCATAAGCGAGTCTCGCTCCCTGACTGACATCTGTGACGTGCTGTCATCTTTGGATATTGCCATTGGTTTTCTATCTTCCACTGGGGGAGCTCCTGATAGGCTCCTCAGTAACTATCTAGGAAGGGTGCTACGAATGCAACAAAACACTCTACGGAGTTTGAAGGTATATATTGTAGCTACAACTCAAGTTAAGTTTGTACACTAAAGAATTGACTTTTGGAGCAACCTTCGCGTGTATGTGCCCGATTTTCCTCTTCCCCTTTCCCTTTCGAATGCATATCACTCCGGGTATTCTGTCATTGGTATTCTACACTGCTGCCAATAGATTCTTTCTTGGTTAAATCCAATACATTCTACGTGTCTTTTTTCTTCTATTTTCCCTTTCAGGCCCAGCAATACTGTCAGTTACGTCACGTGATCTCTCTCTGGCGACTTCTCACCCTTGAGAGAGCCAGAATTCTTATAAGGCGAGGCGAGGTAAGGAATATTTTATATTTCCAACTATACCTTACATTTAACCTTTACGCGACATTCGCAAAGACTTCTTAACAACATTCAGCTGAGGAATTATCAACCTTCTCATCAAAACAAAAATAAAAACAAGGAGACTTGAAGACTTCTTACTTGTGTGTCGTATAATAAACGAGAAAGTAGTTACTCCGTGGAATCGAAACAAACGCAAACAGCCAATTAAACCAAGCAGACCTCCAAGACAGTATATACATATCAGACCGATGTCAGACCCAAAGTAGCTTGGAACAAGCCCTGCATTGGGGGAATATTGTTAGGAGTCGCGCAAGCGGGTAACGAAAAAAAGCGCATGGGCAAGGGGCTTTGCCACTCGCCCACGCAATCTCTTACGACTCGCCTCGCTCGTTACTCGAAATAGAGAGCTTACTTACACTTGCTTAGCACACCACGATTGATTCAAGTTTTACTTTTGATTGATCAAGTGGGGCACCGAATTTTGTCGGTCGTTGATCTAAGTACTGTCATCCTTTAAGAGATGAGTAAATAGCAATGCTTATTACTTAACTTTTTTCTTATTGCCTTTGTAGGATCCGTTTGAGCAGATTTCAGACAAGTACAAACAGGTCATGTCCCAACCTCAGCTGAAGGAGTTTAGCAGTCGGATGAGAAGGATTGACTTGGATCGCTTTGTCTGTGAGGTCCTGGAGCTTATTTTGCTAAACTTAAGAGGTGATACAGTCTCCGGAGAAGAAGAAATGAGGTAACTTTGGAGAGATTGCCTCCATTACTACTAGTGTGTCTATGGTTGACGTAGTCATCTGTGGAATGTTTATCTGTAGTTGGCTATTTACCAGCATGAACAAGAAGTTTTATATTGGACTGTCAATTATGTCAGAGAGGTACTCGACCCTAGGACCTCTAGATTGCAAGTCCAACGCCCACGCTGCCCCCCTCCCTCTAATTACTATGATTGATCATATAAGAAGCTACACCAAAGATTCAGAGAAATATTTTATCTGATATAGTTCAGTTTACAAAACTCTGCTTGAGTTCCAGCCCACTCCCCAGTGGTTAGATATGACCTGGATAATTTGCGTATCATCTTACAACGGCTGTGTCTCCTTTTATTCAGCCTGGGTGATTACATCGAGTGGCATCTTGACAACAAAGGACATGTACCAGTGCCAGGACTGGACGCATTGCCATCGGAAGTGCAACTAAAGCACGTGATCAATGCTTGGAGAACCTCTGTTGAACTGTGTGACAATTATCACGACAAGCGAGACGCTGCTAACGCTTGAATTATAATGTTAATTTAATTCGTAATATTCCTCGAAAATCGGTATTCTTACATTAACTGGAGTGTAAGTAATGACCCTTCTCAGTACATGGTTAGTTACAATATTTACTAGGACTAGAAATGGACAAAACCTAGCTGGTGTAAAAGGTCTCGTCCCCTTCCTTCTCCTCCCTTTGGATCTGTCACTGATCAAATGCAATTGTCAAGAGTGCGTGGCAGGATGCGTGCCCTTGTCATTTATTGGTTTCTTATATGCTTCGAACATCATCATCATTAACGGTTTTTACTCGAGATACTTTTCTATAATTCAAATATGCACCCATAGAACCTTTTAGATTTTTTTTTTCACGCTTCGCTGCATGCCCAAAACCTCTCCAAATTAGTTATCTCAGTATTAAGGAAGGAAGTGCTAAAAAATTCAAATAGAAAAGTGGTCATTTGTGCCATTTCTTACCCATGGGTAGAGAAAATGTTAGTAATAAAACGCATTTAAATCGTAGAAAAAAATGTGTAAGAAAATAAATTTGCGTATTTATATAGGAAGAAAAATGAGAGGAATTGCGAGTCTCATCTACCTGTCAATTACTGACTTGTCCAGTTTTACGGGCTGGAATTGAAAATCCCTGAGAATTTAAACTAGAATTAAGAACTCTTTTAAAAGTCAATTATGTCAAGTTACTTAATTTTTGGCTGTTAACTATTAGTTTCACAAGTTAAGGACGTAGTTGTTTGGTTAATTGTACGAGAACGACTGTTCTGTTTTATATTGTGCATAGAAAATAAAATTGTTTCACCTCCGTAAGTTTGCTGGAATTGAAATAAAAAGAGCAAAAAACTAATGAATTAATGATTTCTTTCAAACTCTTATGCCCTAAACAGATGGCAAGACAGAGACAATCGTAGAAAATTTGAATATAGCCTTTTGGGAATATGACATTGTTCAGTTTCACTCCATTGACCATGTAAATTACTTTGGAATATACCATAGGGTAAGATCATTTCTACACTATAAATGACTACCCTCGGCCACCCTCATTATTAAGTTGATCCCCACAATTCTTAGATGGGAATCCTTGTTAGTTTTTTATTACACTCCCGTATCAATTGAGACTAGACGAATTTCTCTTGCAATAAATTACAACTCATCAATCAGTTGTAAAGAAAGGCAATTCAAACTGAAGCACCCCTGCAAATTAATGAGAAAACCACGTGACTACTTCACCCTGTTTCAGCGTTAGTGCACTTGGATATCGAAAGCCGCTGACCGCAAGCTGTTGCAGAAACATCTCACCTGAGGTCGACATAATTTGAAACTTCATTTTGGTTTGATTTCGTTTTTGGACAAAGGTACATTGCAAAGTTCCCGTGGCAAACGATGTATAGAAGGGAACGTTATACGGACAAGAGAGCTTAGGTTCAAATGAAAGTGTTGCTTCTGGCGCCGAGAAGGACTGGCCCGAGATCGCAAAAGGAATGTGCCAAAGTACCATGTGAAAGGCGTAGTGCGAGGTGCACCATGGGAGACCATCAAGTCCGTACCCATTCCCCGAGTAAAGTCCATGAAAATCCCACTCGTCATTCAGCTCTGAACGAACGTGTTCTATGGCTTTCTCAGCTTGTAGTAACGCCTTCTGAGGGTCCAAACCTGAAATAAGATTGTTTCAAGATTTGCATTAGCATAGCACTCAAGAGTTACTTCAGTCAACTCTCCCTAAGAAGGGCACCGTTTGAACCGTCACCGAGTATCCGTCTTACAGAGCTGTTCGCGTTTGAGAGAGTCAAAGAATATAACTGAAGAACTGCGGGAAAAAACCCTTACTGTCCTCTTTTAGGTGTCATTCGTCTAGAAGTGTCTGTTAAGAGGGAGGTGCACTGTAATATGTCCTCGAAATCTGTCATGAAAGAAACGCTTCGTCTTCTCTTAGTGGGACAGGGAGGAAATACATCAACTGCAGGGAAATAGTTTTTCAGACTATTTTCAATGACTAGAAGTAATTCAGAGAAACACTGTGTAATAACTGTTTACCGATCGTCAATGAGTGAGAACCTTTTTTAGGTGTGGCAAGTTCTCTTCAACCTCGCTTAGCCGAAGGAGAGGCAATAAGCTCGAGCTGTGAAATCTAATTGAATTTTTTGTCAAGGGAGGTTGGAAATGTTTGAGGGTACAGCAACATTATTACCGTAATCTGATGATGTATTCGGGGAAAACGAGGGAGGACTGGGAACGCCTGGAACAGGCTACATTCTTCTATAGCCGCGCGTAATGGATGGCGTTTACCTACATTATATGTTATCCATAAACCTACATTCTTACAGGAATGAACGAACGAATGAACCAAAGACCAATTTTTTCAGGTTAACGTACAATTCCTTAACTTCTTTTCGCAGTGGTTACCCCCATGGGATAATCAACTCCCACGTCAATGATGTGCTAGGCAGAAACCGAAACAAGCAAGACGACCCTGTTCTTGCTGGCAATTATATGAGCTTACCCAAATGAAGTTGAAGAGTCGTCCAGTCAGAGCTGGCGCCCATCCAGATTGACTCGTGTAGCGCCACCAACTGGTTTAACTTCTTAGTACTGATATCCTTGGGACATGAGCCCACGCTCTTGTTAGTTGGATGATCAGTAGCCATCACTCGGAGCCCATATGGCGTATCGTTGATTTCAAGTTCTTTCATTAAATGAGATCTGAGCCTGTACACAGGGAATTAGTAAAATGCGTTTGCTTCAATGGCCCTATAGTACAATACATAACGATAACTTTATAAAAGAGAGAGACGTTATAACCTTTTACAATGTTCTAACCTACGGCCCTCTATAATGAACGTAGTAGTAGTACGTGGTGTCTTCTGAACTGTTGTGACTAAAATTATTGTGCATGATGAAGCGTAATGGACATGGCTTTACTATGAGAATGAAAAAGGCGCCAAATTAGTCATTAGGACATTTTGGTAACGGTACCTAACCATTTTTAGGTCATCAAACCTTCGCCGCTCAGTGTAGTCAAGAAAATTTTAAGAACAGCGCAAAAAAAATTGTGATCGCTACCCAGAAATACAACTGAACTCAAACCCCAGAAGTAAAAAGTTATCCTGAAGCCGGAAGTTACATCCTAACCTTTTTGGATCGTCCAAGAGTCCTAGTCCCAGAGTGTAGGCCCAGACTTGAGCATACAGTGAATCACTCATCAGCCAGGACGGTGAACCTTTCTCCTTATCCCACCAAGCGTGGTAATATCCATCCTCTTCGCTCCATAATTCTTCTGATATTCGATAATTTGCGATTTCCAGTGCTGTTGAAACTTCTTTCAACAAATCCAAATCGTCCAGTATCTTGCATAGCTCCTCGGCCGCTCGTAGGGCCAGGACATACAAGAAACTGTTAAAGGTATTGTGATCGTATAAATTGAGAAAGAGCTGATCATATGTACACTGTAGTCTGTAAGGTAAACCGGTCCCTTTTGTGCCTCCGTCAATCATCCAAGCAATCGCCTTAACCACGTGCGGCCACATGTCTTTTAAGAAAACGCTGTTATTGGCCCACAGATAAATATGGTAGGTTTCTGTTATGAAAACCGTAGTGACATCGCCCATAATTCGCTGATTTGGAGGACCACTGTAGAAGAGAATAGTGTCAAGTAAATATTTTTCGAAAGATTTTTTTTTTCTGACAGATGAAAAGGGTTTTTAAAAAAAGATGTTGAAATAGCTTATTTTCGATTTTAACTTTCCCATAAGCTACCATAACGAATTTGCAACATGATTTGTTGCGACCATAAAACTTTTTTACCATTCTGACTCTACTGTTATTCGATGTTGGACTAAGAGGCTGCTCTACAATATCAAAGGTTTGTCTACATCTAGCCAAGCATTCCAGTTGACTCCAACTAACAGAAACATTCAGTCTTTTAATTTCTTTTGCAAATCATGACAAAAATCACTTAAATATAGTAAGCTGTAGTCCAGTTATGGGTTTGTGAAATTGTTCTATTTGGAAGGAAAAGGAGATGTGATACTAACAGAAAAATATAAACTAACCTGAGAAAACTGCTTACATTTCCAAGCCACCACTTGTTTCCCCTCAAAAAGACGTTTGCCTGCGTGCAGACGTCTCCTATTTCCTTTGTTGCACGCGGAAAAGGGACGTCTGCGTAACGCCGTCGCTAATCGTGTTCCAGCGTCCTGCTGGGTTCCCAAGATCTTGGGAACACGCTGTGATAGGCTGACACACAGTGCGCATTGTTTGACTTAACGCTGATTGGTTGTTATCGAACGTGGTCTGATAATGTATGCGGTGATTTAAATGATTTATGTAAGCGGGGTTTTCTAACCAAAACAAATCAAAACATGTGCGATTGTGTGCTGTGTTTTTTGTCGATCGAAAAGCAGAGCGATCGAAATCTTGTGCGGGGACGCGGAAAATTTAACGTGTACGAGGAAATTATTTCTTTATAATTTACTGTGCATGACACATCACATCATATTTGTAAACAGTGTCTGAGAAAACTACAAAAGCGGCGTAGACTTCGCACCAGGTAGGCATTTCGGAGAAAGCCAGCCAAAGAGACTAAAATCTTTATTTAGCCGTAACAAACCGAGGTCAAGAAAATTTAAACACTTTACAACTGCATCTGAAATCAAATCATATCGGGAACACCCACAGAAGCATAAACCACAGGAAATGATTACTCAGTATGCATGTAACAAACCTGCTTCATGACCTCTAAATGGAAGACTTAGCGCGGCAAAAATGAGATTTACTCAGTCAAAGGTTAGAATGCTACATACACTGTGTAGTGCTAGTAATCTTCGCGCGAGAGAGAAAAGAAGAAAAACCTCTGTTCAAGCAGACTCTCAAGGTCACGTTTCGCCCGTATCACGAGCTTATGATGTTTTGTTTGGCCTGTCAACTCTTATTTCTAACCGGATATTATTTCACAATTTATGCGAAATAGAATACCCTGCCAGCGGGACGCTGGAACACGATTAGCGACGGCGTTACGCAGAC